TTATTCTCCGTTGCTCTGGCAAAATCTTTTGCAAGGTTAATACGGAACTTAAGAGGATGGAGGTTTGTCAATCCAAAGCACCATAAATGACATTCCAAGTGGAATGTAAGTTGGAGGCTGCATCACGTGCTATCGGGTTATTAAATCCGAGGCTGGCACTACAGATACACGTGGTAGTTTATCAATGGAAAGTCTATTCCAGCACACATTCCAGGGATTCCGTCGTGGAACGCACGCGGTGTTGACGTGTAAACATTCACTAATATGATACTGTATTGTAGAAAGGGTTATCTTTGCGGTCACCAGAACTTTGTCTGTGACGAAAGTCAGACCCATTCAGCATTATTTATAAAAACGGATTCTATTTTCCGATTTTACACAGAAGTTCGTGTAGATAGAAAGTGATTATATATGTAGCAATCGGGCGCCATGTTTTTGTCAGATGGGTACTATTCCCACGCTGACAAATGACCGAACACTGGAGAATACTTAGTCCTGGAGTGCCGTACACAGCCTGATCTAGATGTCGTTTTGTATAGGACACAGGGCCCAGTATGAGGTTCCCTAACCCACACTAGGTTAGTACATGTATACCACACGAGGATACCAGTCTGTCGGGAACAAAAGAGTCAGCGGTGTGTAATGACGGGTGTTTAACGACAGTATGTGACTGCGGCTGAACCGGAGTGAGAAGTAATACGCTGTGACTAAAAAAATTAACAAACTCTACGGAAGTCACGTTTGATTCTCATTTGGAATTTTAGACAAGAAGTTGTAGATAGTCATTTCTGTTAAACTTACCATACTCTCTAGCTTTTAAGTGGAAATGAAATGGTTTTTCATAAACTAAATTGAATCTTGTCTTTGATCACAAACAAGCTATAACTAGTTCTCTGTCCGTCACGTCCGTTTCCAGCTTCGTTTAAAATGAAAAATCGCTATCAGTGCCACGTACCCGGCTCAAGTAACATGACGAGATAAACTAAAAATCTCCAGCACCTACAATGAAGTCGGCCAGCAATATCACGACTACTCTTAGTTCATTTGCCACCTCAAAATTCGAAATATTTCTTCTTCATGAAAAAATAACAGGAGGACAGCATGCTTTCTGCGCCGCCGCGTTGCCTCCACGGTGTGACGTCATTAACAAACCATTTCAATAATCCTTATGATAAATAATACTGTTAAGTTTTAAATGTTCTTTTATGATCGTTACAATACAACATATGACAAAAAGATTGTACTTACTGATAAAATATGAATTACAATTTTACAATAACTGTTGTTGTGTCCCCGGACTACATTTAAAGCATAAGTCACAGGAACATGAGCGTGCCTCAAGCTGTTCCACCAGCGATCATTTCATTGAATCTTTGTAGGGTTTTTGTTTTGTTCAAGTTCGTTATGCACTTCAAAGACAGAATGGCATAAAAGTCTTAATATAATTGTTACACTGCTTTCAGATGCGGTCCGTAGGTATGCCCACTGCTTTATAGGAAAATGTAACATGAACCGTTATCGTTTCACATAAATTAAAAAAAAGTCTTGTCGGGGTGGGATATTAGGGTAAAGAATTGGTCCTAGTACACCAATACGATACTGCTATTACATATGACACGGCAGACTCTTAATGGCCTTCGTTCTGAGGGCCACAGTGGGTAAATTACACGTGAATACAGATCCACCCGAACTCAGTGCTATACAGGACAAACCTATACTTGATCAAAGAGAAACCCCGAACTAATGGTGGTGTTGTTCGGGTAAAACTTACACATGAGTGTAGACACATCCTGAACTGTTGCCATTGCTATACGGAACAAACTAATGCATAAGGAAATAGAAAACCCGAGCTAATGTCGGTGTTGTTTGGGTAAAACTTACACATGTTATTACACTTACACATGTTTTATTTTCCTGTAATGCAATAATTGGCGTTCAAATTGCCTACGAATCGCATCTGAAAGCAGTTAAATGCTTAAATATCCACGCAAGATATAAACAGTTTTGTATAATTTGCTAAATTGATAAAAAGTGTTGTTTCGTCATTATCGTTTCAATAAAGATGTTCACACGTAAAACAATCATAATCAGACAACATTTCAAAATATACTACCGTCAGCTATAATTTAGAATATAAATAAATGACTTAAACAAATTTAATAGTCACACGTTTTAACTAGCTATACGAAAATCGGTAACATACATTCATGGATTCATGCATTTACCATGAAGCCCGGCTATGGTATGGTAATTATTTGCATTTATTCCAGCATGAACGTCGAAAAAAAGTTGTTCGGAAAGTATAGTACCATTCTATTTGTGATAAGATACTTGCAGAACTGAAGTGTCTGTATCGTCAATGCAAACGAAATTCCTGGAACAATCTTGCGTCACAAAAATGTTTGTTTCTTGCGATGGTTTACGTTATGCGAGACGGGGAACAAGCGTCCAAGTGATACTGGTCCCATTGTGTTCCCGTTTATAAAGGAGCTTGCACAACAGAAAAAAAGATCTACCGACACGACTAATAACAATATGTATTCACTCCCTAACTGATGTCGGCGGAACTAGGCCATTCTGCTATTGAGTGCGACATTGACATTAACCGGTAAAGTGCGATTCTGTCTAAATGTATGTCAAACTGGTGTGTTGTGACAGGCTGTGAGGAGGGGATAGGGAAGAGAGGAGGAGAGGAGGTGGGGAGACTGTGGGGAGGCTGTGAGGAGGGGATGGGGAAGAGGGGAGGAGAGGAGGTGGGGAGGCTGTGGGGAGGCTGTGAGGAGGGGATGGGGAAGAGGGGAGGAGAGTAGGCCTCTGTCTAGTCAATATTTTTTATACAGTAGGTACTTTTGACGGTTGACATCAACATACAGCTGTATTGTTACTAAAACACCAGTTAGGTGTGTGTTTTTTTATGAGGGTTTTGTCAAACAAAATATATATTGCATATTTTTAATTATTTTGATAGAATCTTATGCATTTCATTGCAAACCTTCTTTACAGGAAAATATGGAATGATTGTGTTTTTTATCGAACATTTGGTCATTGCTAAGTACTCAAATTATCTATACCGAGGCGATTGCATATAGTACATATAATTTGGTATGTAAGCAGTAAGTTTTTCTATAATAAGTTAGCAAAAGATCCACATTCTGCATATTTCGTTTTTATTTCGGAAAGACATACATCTTGTGTTTTGTTAAACTGGAGTAAGACGCACATGCATTACGTGTTCCTTTTGTCGTGTCACGATGCTTTCTGTGTTTGTAAATATGTGGGTAGACATGGATTTATATTTCTATTTTTGAGTAGAATTACATTATGCATTTTTGAACTTGGTAGACATTTATTTTATGTTTGTACAATCGGGGAATCATAAATTCTGTTTCCTTGTATCTTGTATCAACAGATGCGTATTACATTTTACTGATATGCTATATATCGTAATGTTTGAAATAATGGAAATCCAAAAACAGGCGAAATATGATTGGTTTTCTCCATCTCTTGAACAATCTAAGATCATCATTTATAGTTCGTGTAGGAGACAAAACCGATCATGAACATCAATGAGTATTAAACCTTTCAGATCTTCAGTACAAACCTTAAGGTTTTTTTCTCCCAGACTCATGTTCATATTTAAGGCAGACCTTTGAAAGTAACAGAAATTTCCAATGTTTTTGATGCTGTAGGATACTAGAATGGATACGACCAAACATATTCATGACAATTGTACTCCATATATACTGAACGATGGTTCAAGATTATATTATGTGTTTTATTTTATCTATTTTGCTTGATTGAAATATATTTAATAACAACATTTCAAAAAAATGCGATTTTGCAATGCATGTAACATCGGAACAGTCACTGGTCAAACTAACCCCACATTCATTGGCCTTGAAATCCTCATTATTATGCATATCAATATAATGATGTTGACATCATACAGTGTATATGTCATACGTAGATAAATAATATACACGTACGTCTGTAGTATGTGTATGCTATTATGATAAAGCCAGAAGAATAACGAAACGCCCATATTCTAGAACTAATTATATTTAAGGTCCAATAGAGATGTTCAAACACTGATGATCATACAGCCAAGTAAACAGCGATGGTCAAACAAAGGTTTCAAATAGTGATTATAATGATTCTCGGATACAATTAGTCAAATAAAGAATAACCAACACTAGAGGTGAACAGTCATAATTTTACAATGTATGGAAGTTTGGTCGTGAGACAATGAAAACCCTGGCCAAATTATCAGTACTGGTCGTGAATACAAGCAATTATCAAAAGCTGTCAAAGCCGTTTTCGTTACAGACTTTTTCTATTGTATTGAAAGATGTCATCCTCATTTTTGCCTGTCCAACAATTCTCCTACGCGACACGCGCGTTCGTCCGCGTGCGGGATAACCAGTATCTCAACACTAATCTCTCTCCTAACGTCGTAGTGGTTTGTGGTATACCAGGGATTATGCAAACCTCAAATCCTGTCATGGAAGCTGTCAATGTTCGATCTGTTAACGCAGTGATTGTGTATACCACAGTCGAGCTCGTACGGATTGTGTCATAAAATACGCCCAGCTGCTGGCCTGCTTCGTTAGTCTACTTATTTATGATCGATGAAGATATATAATTCTGTCCAATCAATACAATTTGTGAAGAAAAACTATAAGATAGAAAAAAGCAAAGTCCAGATGATAAATCTTCGCCCTAAAATAAACCTAAAGCAGCCAAGAATGATTATCTTTCATCAATACATCCGACCTTTACATCTCATTGGGACGTCACCGTAAGCTTCCGACTCTGTTTTACACTCCCCAACACCAGTAAACACGTGTTGACAGAATTACTGGCTTCTGTCTTATCAGCTGCCGTTCGACACAGCGTAACCTTTACCCGAACATTGTCGGTAATCCTCGCCCGTGATGGACATGCGCTACTAAAACTGTGACGTGTAAACGTCGATAACTTCCGCGCCAGAATATGTTTCATTTCACATGGCCTACCTACGTCAGAAACCGACCCGATGGCGCACAGTTTATACGTTCTCCTCTTGTAAGTGTAGGCGGTTGATGCAGATGTGCGCGCGTTGAAATCGTATCGTTTTTGTCCGCTTTATCAATTTTATATACAGGGTTAATATAATACTGCTTTCTACCTCGGCGTCACTTCACCATGTGCATCGGTATACTAAAGTAATATAAATATTTGTAACATAGACTCCTACACCGGATATTTTCGTACACGTGCTGGCCGTGTATCCTTCCGCCCGACCGTGAGAGTGGACAGACTATCCCTCAGCTCAGACAGGGATACCGCGGGAATGAACAGATCCCTTTAATGGGCCCCAAACAACCGCATTCTAACGATCAGAAATTTCACCATTTATTGACCTTTCTAAATGTCGAAATCATTAACTCGTTGGAATAATGGCGGACAAAATGACCAGGAATGGGTTTGGCGTTGTACTGATGTCCGTGTGGCACGCTGTGATAACCCTGGTCATGTTGCCAACGTTACTGATTCAGTGGCTGACAGGGACCCCAACCACCAAACCTCTACCGCGGTGAGTCTCTTGGTTACCATATTTTGTGATTATTTAATAGTATAAGGTGTTTCTATTTACGTATGTTAAAAAGCTATGGTTGAAAAATATAACATGTATTTGGTAACCTTAAAGTTTCGATGAGCTTCATAAAATATAGTTTTTAAGACTTAAGGAATGCATATATTCTTATACATATATTTAAAAAGTTAGAGAGTGCCAAGTTGAGACGTGGTTGAACTTTCATGATTATTAGTAAACAAAATTTATTCAAACTTTCTACATGTGTTTTAGTTATAGGCATCCTTCTTCGTTTAAAAGAGCACTATAATGTATATTTTGTCATGTGCAGTGTCGTATTTAATATGTTTTCAATGTTGGTATTTCCTTGGAAAATAATTGTTTTTGAACACTGGTCTAAATCTAATGGAATATAATGTTGTGTACAAATAGCAACTTAAATCTTTATCATGACGTTGTACTGTACCGATTACAATACAAAACTGTAAAGAAAGAAGGTATGGTGAGATCTAAGTATTGACATTTGATCTCCTAAACCTGCACATAAATTAAAAAAAAAGTCTTGTCGGGTGGGATATTAGGGTAAAGAATTGGTCCTGGTACAGCAATACGATACTGCTATCATATATGACACGGCATACTCTTAATGGCCTTCGCTCTGTACATATCCACCGAACTCAATGCTATACAGGACAAACTTATACTTGATCATAGAGAAACCCCGAACTAATGTTGGTGTTGTTCGGGTAAAACTTACACATGAGTGTAGACACATCCTGAACTGTTGTCATTGCTATACGGAACAAACTAATGCATGAAGAAATAGAAACCCCGAGCTAATGTCGGTGTTGTTCGGGACAAACTCACACAAGAGTGTAGAGACATCCCGAACTGGAGCTGTTCGGAACGAGCTAACACATAAATACAGATACACTGTCCAGCACTTTTGTCTGCGGTCAATGGATTTGGTTTAGTATTGTTTAACGTCCTATTAACAGCTTTGGTCATTTAAGGACGGCCTCCCCTGTGTACAAGATGCATGCGTGTAGTGTAGCGTGCGTGTTTTGGGAGGCTGATATATGTTCGTGTTTGTCTCCTTGTGATAGCGCGGAACAGTTGCCGACCTTATAGTGCTACCTCACTGAAACATACTGCCGAAGACATCCAGCAGGACACCCCACTCGGTCACATTATACTGACAACGGGCGAACCAGTCGTCACACTCTAAATTGCTGAGCGTTAAGCAGGAGTAGAAACTACCATTGTTACAGACTCTGGTATGTCTCAGCCAGGGGACAGAACCCAAAGCTTTCCTCTCAGGGGCAAACGCTCAACTAAAGACCAAACGTGAGGCATTGTCAAGGGAGACATTAGGAAGAAGAAAGTTGTTTAGAAAGAAGAGAAAAGATAAGATCCCAAATTTAGTCGCCTCTTACCATCGTGCAATGAGGGCAGCAGGTACAGTTTCATATGCCCTACCTTTAGGGACGTATGCGGTCAATGTCATCCAGGGTTAGAAGAATCTAACAGCTTTTGGTTCGAAGTTAACATATTGGAAGGTCAGAATATTAATACTATTAAATGATAACTCGTACAACAAAGTTAAGAAGCACTTATTTAAAATTTAGTTTGTAGAACCAGAAAGCCAAACAAAGAAATATTATACTGCATCATATGTCCATTTCAGCAATGAAGGACTCATTAATTGTACTTGTGGTCAAAAGAATAAAAAGCTCTTTAAGTGTTCTGAAGCATATGTAGAATACAACGAAAAGGAAAAGATACATATACAACCTTCTACAACTTATTTCATGTAAAACAAGAAGAACAAATTAATGCCGAAGTGACTACAAAGCCATAATTCGAAATCAAAGTCGATAACCTTGAAAATAATAATGAGCATAAGACCAGGTGTTCCGGAAGGACAATCTTCTGGTTCATTAATGATGTCCGCAATGTAAATTTATGTCAATTCCAACAAATGTCACGTTCTTAAAGTGAGAACTGTGCTCTAGTGACAATAAAGCAACAAGACACATTAATGAGCACTATAAAAAACATCGACTTTCATATTGCACAAAGATATGGCACATTTCACTATGAGCACATGATGGCGACCATAATAATAATATTAAACTTTATTTATTTTACAACAACTGTGAAACAAGTTATTTCAACTTATATCAATCAATCTTGTTGGCCCGGATGTTATGTTAGACCATACTACCTGCCCAAAGTCTTCATTAAGCTGCATCTTTGCAAAACCTATGTCGTTAGTTTGTCCGTTAGCAGTGGACATTTCGTACGGACGTGTTATATTCGTACCAAGTGCTTGAATATCGAACATCGGAGATTGGTAGTGAGAAGCTTGGTTTACGGTGTGGTTGAGTAACTACAAGAGCTAGCGATAAAACGTCGTTTCTAGGGAATCTGGAGAACTTTTAGTATCCTTACCATTAGTGGATATTAGGGAAGATTGTATTAATAATAATAAAAATAATAATAATATACAACATTTATATAGCGCCCTATATAATTTGTAAAATTACTCTAAGGCGCGTATTACAGAGGCATCGTTGTTTCGAAAAATTGGAAGTAAAATGTTTAGAAACGGTTTCCTTGGTTATCGGGCCAGTCTAGTTTTTTCTGCAAGCAGGTTGTGTAAAAGTTTTTGCAGACAAAGATTAAGTTATTAGATGCTTTATTCAAAGACAAAACTACATACCTATCATGCAGATACATTACAGCTCCATTACATCTCCAAGGTTTGGGCAAACCTGGTGGGACTGAAAACCCCACGAGTCGGAGTCTACCAGCTGAATCAACTGACGTGAGTGCGTCAAGCAATCATTAGAAAAACGAAATCTAGAACACCGGTTTAAAGTTAATTGCCCTGATACAGAAAGCCAAAGTGAACATTTTATCGAGTCTATTAAGGACTCATGACTGGTAAGAAAGGTCGAAGGAATGAACAAAGCATGTCCCAAGCGTTCCAAAACATCTGTAAAATACAGAGAAAAGGGAAAGGTGGCCATGGAACCCTATATAACGTCACACATTAACAACTTTTGGTTATAGCAATAAAATAATTGATCATCTTTTCCTTTTTTTTGAATTATATTTTCAAAATTTTATGAAATAAACATATATATAAATATACATACAATGTACATGGGCGTCTATAATCGCCTTTAAATAATGTACATACTGTTCAAAATATTCTATCAAGTATCAGTATTCGTCTTACATATATATTAACAAATAAGTATAAATTCACATTTTGATATAAAAAATAAACTTCCGGATTTTCTTGTCCGTACTCTATTCTAATTAAAATTGTATTATAATCCAGTGTCTGATTTCCGGTTAGGGTCACGATGGTGAACAGACTTCGCACAAACGCTATTATATGGTAAATATTAGTATATGACATGCTTCGTATGGTATAACATCATCCAATTCAGCGAATTAAAGTGCCATGTTGATCATCTTAACCATGTCTGAATGAATTCCAGCTACAAGGCTACGGCCAACCTCGGGGACTGATACTAGTCCGGCATCATAGACCAGCAGTCAACCACATCGTTACATAAACAATTATTAGAAATACGATTTAAGGATGCAGCTTTTTCATAATCTAATTCGTCGACGCACTAACACAGTAAACAATGTACTGACCATATGACCATTTCGTCCATTAAAGACTCGTCAAATACGAACTAAGTATGCACCTTTTTATAATTTATATCGTCGAAACACTATTAAGTAAACAATGTACTGACCATATGACCATTTCGGCCATTAAAGACTCGTCAAATACGAACTAAGTTTGCACCTTTTTATAATTTATATCGTCGAAACACTATTAAGTAAACAAAGTTCTGACCATATGACCATTTCGTCCATTTAGGGGGCCTCATGTAGACGATATAAAAAAAGCAAATAGGACGAAATGTGTATAAATGGTAAATACTTTCGTTACTCTCTCTAACGTGTATGTGTTACTCTCCTTAAACCACGGAGTCAAACGACTCATATTTATACTTAAGTTGTTTAGATATACACATGTTGTAATAACTCTTCTCCTTAGGTAGACTAAGGAGATGTCGGAGATACCGACGTTGATCTTCGGCTCCCATCACAACTGTTGGGACGTCAATCTTGACTTATCTCCCTTACCGACAAACTTTCGCGAGCGTGCAAATTCCTAAACAAAACAAAATGAACAATTCTGAAGTAGCCATATTTGATTTAACACCAATACAAACCTAATACAAATAAGGGCCAACAAGGCATTAGGAAACACATTAATCAGTTAGATGTTTTGAAGCAGGCTTATAATGTAAAAGGTTGTCGATTGGACACACGATATCTCATTGCTGTTGTCGAGGACGTGTAGGCTTAAATATTGTTGATGTCTCCCTATGTACATTAGTATGCCAATGTAAGACTAGGGGCAGTATTCGGGATCCACAGATGTACAGTCTTAGATAAGGGACGTTATAGAGCTTTGTCTAGGGGGCATCTTTCATCACAACAGCTTCTTTACAACAGATACAATCTCCGATGTTGTCAATACTACGTTAAAATCTGTACGTTTTGTTATGTCGCCAGTCATGACAATATGAACGGCGTATTGACATACATAGGATAAAGGACGCGGGTCTCTTACAGACTATACATATGGTAGGAAGTTATGCCGTAACATTGATTTCATTGGTTCTCATACAGTCTAAATTAGGACACAGAAGGGAACACTTACATTGACCTCAGAATTAAGCCACATATTCGTATATAGACTAAAGAATTAAGACACAGGAGGGAGTTCTTATTCCGTCTTTGCGTATTACAGAGTTATCTTCTCTTGGGAACAGGTATTGATTGTTACGTCATTGATTTGTGCGAGAAAATTACGTCGTTTTCTCAAAAATTGATGACGTTACTCTCACAAACAAGTGCCTTACCAACCAATCCCTGCTCCCAAGAGAAGATAACTCTGC